ATCATATATTAGATTTTCATGATACAATAAAATTTGAATTATACTTGTAGTGACTAGTCAGGATAAATGAGCATCATCATAATATCAACCAACAAAAGGATATTTCACCTTAACCAACAATAGGATATTTCACCTTCATTCCTTACTCATTTAAATCCTCAAGGTCAAACCTCCAGCTACAAATAATTCAAACTTTATCTTCTATGGCCATAGAACAATATTTATCTTCATAAATACGTGAAGAAATAACAACAAGACGAGTCCAAAATATCACAACTATATCATAGTTGATTATAAATATATATTTACAATAAATATATTTACGTAAAAAGAATATATTAAGAGTACCAATGATATAAATAAATATGACAATCATTATAAAATAATTAAACAATATAAAATATGAACACCTTAATAATTATTATGGATAAAAATAATCATAGGTTAAGCAAATAAATGAGGTTAGGGACACCCTACTAAAAAAATATACATAAAAAATAACAGAAATAAATATACATAATAGTATATAAAATCTTAAAGAGATAAGGTTCTCCTCCCCCTTACCTGGATTTTCAAAAGAAGTTAGGTATAAAGTTTTGAGAGTGTGTACGAAATGACTTTCCTTTTAAGCATAGAATCCACAATTAGGCGATTAATTTAAGAAGGGTTTGCGCGGTCAATGATTTCATGGTTGAAACGAAATGATTATGGTCTGCAACAGAGATCTCTGGGGATTAGCAATGGTTGAGATGCAATGCAAACCCTACTCCTATTACTGTGCATGTGTGTTCAGGTCATGAAGTAAAGTTAGTCATATCAGACAGAGAAGGGCAAAAGTGTCATTTCAGAAAAGGTGTTGTCAATCAACCCAAAAGGAAGAAGCAACAAAATCATGTTATTCCCTCATTTATTTTTCCTCATTTTTTCACCTCCCTCCATGACTTTATGCTGTCTGCATCAGTCACCTTTCACTGTCACTATCAACCTATTTTCATTTCCACAAAAACCCTAAAGGCCAAAACACACCACCCCTTCTTTCTACATTACACCCTCACTTTTCTGCATTTGCCTGGCACTCCCATTGCTCATAGCAACCCCGTTTGCTTCCCTTTTTACGGAAAAAAAAAAAAAATCTGCCAATTCCCTAGAAACCTCATCAGAAAAAAAACCAGGCTTAGCAAAAAGCCACTTACAGTATTACAAAAATATTACAAAAGTATTCTAGGAGTCCACAAAAACCAAAGGATCATTCAACCAAGCCCCATACCAAAACATCTTATAGTCTAATCACTATTCTTTTACCCTCATTCATTCACCTATATCACTACACCAACCCTTCCATCTTCCTTCAAACTTCAAACCCTCTCTCTCTCACACTCTCTTCCTCTTCTTCAATTCCCATCCAATTATCCTTTCATTCTTGATCTCTTCTAATCTTCTCCCTCCACCTTCAACCATGACAACCAGCTACAAAGACCCCATCTAGACTAAATTCAATTTGTAAGATTGAGTTACGTTTTGAATATGTCTAAGATCTATAATTCATTTTCTTAAGCGATACCAACGGATCACTAACCATGATGAACTCAAACTCACACTCACACTCTCACTCACTCCAAGATTTTGAATCCTCTTCAAGCAAAGACAACATAAACCCTATGACAAACAACAACAACAACAACATAGGTGCCTCATCAGCATCATCCTCATCAACAACAACGACAACAACATCATCACCACCTTCGACTCCAAGTCGCTACGAGAATCAAAAGCGAAGGGATTGGAACACTTTCGGGCAATACCTGAGAAACCACAGGCCCCCACTTTCCCTCTCTCGCTGCAGTGGCGCACACGTTCTTGAGTTCCTGCGCTACCTCGACCAGTTCGGGAAAACCAAGGTTCACACGCAGCTTTGTCCCTTCTTCGGGCACCCGAACCCTCCTGCACCGTGTCCCTGCCCTCTGCGCCAAGCGTGGGGGAGCCTCGACGCCCTCATAGGTCGCCTCAGAGCTGCGTTCGAAGAGAACGGAGGAAAACCTGAGGCTAACCCTTTCGGTGCTCGCGCTGTCAGACTCTACCTTCGCGAAGTTCGTGACTCGCAGGCCAAAGCTAGAGGCATCAGCTATGAGAAGAAGAAGCGCAAGCGTCCACCTCACCCACCTCCATCAAATTCAACCTCTCAGTAGATCCAAGTATATATAATCATATATATATAGTAAGCACTCAACTCAACCACAAATTATTACATAATTCAATTTGGAAAACCTTTGTTCAACTGTAGTTTCAATAATACAAACAAGATTAGTCTATGTTCTAGTGTTCATATGTAGTCACAATTCTGCAAACCAGATTAGTATATAAGTTAGAGAATAATAGAAGGAGAACCAACAAATTATTACGTCTATATATATACATCGTAGTTTTTTTAATTTAAGATAAATAATTTGTAAGACTTAATTGCAAGTTAAAAATTGGTGAAGACCATAATATTCTAAGCAAACTCTGCAATACATCACTACGTAGCCAATCCAATCGAGTCTCACGTGTTGTATTATATTTGATATGATATTTATACATGCAAGGTTCTAATTACTGTCTTAGAATGTCAATTGCAAGTGCAACAGCAAGGTTTTTTTTTTTCTTTCTCTGCAACGGCATATCAGTTATATTTATTTTAAATTTCTGTAATATATACTATCAAAGATTGCAATGAAACTACAATTCGAACAAGATGACTGCAATTTAAGCTTATATAGTCATCATTAACATTTTCTATGGATTTGGCTGTCTGTGCTTGTAGTGTAAATTAATGCTTAATTAATTATCTAGCTATTCATTGCGTTGCATACCCTAAGTAATATGCATGTGTACTTTGTCCCTTCTTTTTTATTCTTTTTCTTTGTGTTTTTTTTTTTTTATGTATTTTCTTATTATGCAGAAGTTGTGATCTGACATGAGGTTAATGAAGGATATAGGCTTCGAGAACCTTAATGTTATCACTGGCAGGTGTAATTTACGTGGATAGAGAAATCTTGAGAACTTTATGCGCGATTTGAAACCTTGGGGTTACTGCTATATACACAAGACTTGCCCTGCGAAACTAGACTGAAAAAATGTGCGATGATGGAAACTGCAGTGTTACTGGTAGAAGGGTGAAGAGAGGGGTTATTTTGTGAGCTATTCACTGTCCAATTTGTAATAAATATGTTATGTACTTGAAGGTGGGTCATTTATGACGAGTAATGGACTTGCAGATCATGTTCCATGTCTTCTTTGGATGCGGTAAAATGCTATTACTTGTGTTTTCTTTTTACCCCCATCAATTACTCCCACTACTACATAGTGTTCTGCAAACTATCACTTCATCATCCACCGGTTAATTTCTGGCATTACTATACAATTTTTTTTCCCTATGTTTTCGTGCTTTTGGGTTTTGATCAGATCCCAGGGGGGCCCTATCGAGAGTTGAGTTCAGGGATTTCGTGTGGTGTTCATTCATAAATATGTAAACTGTAGAAAGCGTGGCTCTGAACAATGCTTGAAACTGTTATGTAGTTGGTTGCATCACGAGCTTAGTTGGTGTTTCTTTGGAGTTTGTGCACTTAATGAAACCCTCTCTCTCTTTGGAGTTTCTGATGACTTCTCCTACTTCAGCGGGAGTGAATCATTGAAGAGACTGCACACGGTAGGCAATTTATGCATATATATCCACCCTTATTAGTAGTGTTTTCTAAATTATGAGGTCAGGGTCTTAAACTTTGAGTTAGAGTTATTTAACTCATTTAAGAGTAATGATAATTATATATCCAATTTTATTGGGGGGTGAATAGATGAGAAAAATAAGAGGAAAGAAAAAGGTAAAGAAAAAATTGACAAATGTGATCAGTGATATCATCAAAAAGAAAGAAAAGATAAAATAAAAGTGTTATAGAAATGACATGATCGATTGAGAAATAAATTTATATTATTTTTCGTGATTTAATAATTAGTGGAAAAATGTGAATTTTCACATTCTGGGTTAGATTGGGATGAAAAGATGAGAAAAAGAAAATAAAGTAAAGGTAAAGAGAAAAATTGACTGATTACTGGTGGTGTTAAAATAGTGCTGAGTGAATGAAACTCTAATCTCACGAACACATTAATTATTAATTGTCAAATATTTTAAGAATACATAAATTATATTTATGACAAACTAATAAAAATATGATAAATGATGTGATGAAAAAAGAAAAGAAAAATTAAACATAAGAAGAAAAAGATATAGATAAATGATAGGGAAAATAGATTTGTGGATTTAATTGGTAAAGAAATATGAATTTCGAATATACTATGTTCTTGTTTTATTTTGAGAACAAATCTCTTTCTAATTAATATGATCTTCACAAACATGTGTTAAATCTTATGTGAACAGCTAATAATATTAAAAGGACCAAGAAAATAGTAGTCAAGTGCGTAGCTATATATTACTTAATTTGATACGTTGTTAATTGTTATTAAGGCTGTCTACATTGTACAGAACCTTGGTACATCTTGTGCTCCAAATTCAATGATACTTATTACTTTCTTTTGATTAGTAAACAAAGATTAAAAATTAAGAATAAGTTCTGTGATCTTTTATAAATATATTCGCAAAGCTTTTTAAATCATTATAGCATGTCTTGATACTCATACTAAGTCATCAGTCATATATAATATGTGTTGACGTTGATTAAAGAGCACCCCAGTGATGGATTGTGATATTGTTTATATATATATATATATATATATAAATATATATATATATATATAT